ACTAGCTTAGCGGCAGAGGAGCCAGTGACAGCACAAAGCGGCGCAGAGGTAGAAAATACGGCCCTGAGAAGATCGGCCCGAATCCGCAAACCTTTCCAACACTTTCAGGACGAATCTTATTGGAACATTGTCTAACTATCCACTATTACCTTTACTGTTCCCCCTCCTCCTTATGCCCTCCACTTTAGGGTGGAGGGATGCAGCGTATCCTGTCCGGGCCGTCAGGGCATCATGCCACAAACGCGTGACAAGCGAACGATCAAGGTCGTGACCCCTGTTCACACCTTGTTTGTGCTGATTGGCCACCCATCAGCCTAGAACAGTCCCCCTTGCCACATGCCCGGCCGTTTCCCCAAGCCTCCTTGTGCTGTCTATCGTACTCAGTACACGTTCTATTTCCAATTACCCTTCTGTTTTGCATACATAACAGTGGGCGCGCTGGGTGACGGAGTGTGGGCAGGGCTAGGCATGGTGGGTGTGCTGGATGTGCTAGGTGTGTTGGGGCTGCGATCAATTCCGCTCTCGTGGATAAACATGTGGTCGAGTAGGCCCATGCGGTGCAAGAATGTGCGAGGGCAGTGGATGCGGGTGTGGCGAGTGTAGACGGGTGCTTTAGCCACTGGGTCTTCAGTCTCTGTGCGATGGATTCGCAAGTGACCGACCATGCCGATGTGTGAAGTGAAGGTGCGACTGCAATGAAGACAGGTATAGACCAGGTCCTCATCACTGATGCTGATGGTGTTGGCGTTTGTTGGTGTGCCAGAATTGTGTTTAGTGTTGATGGGCATGGCAGGCGCCACAACGGCAGACATTTAGGTAGTGAAGTAGGAGGATGATAATGGAAATGGTGGCTCGGGAGGGCGGTCAACGTTAAGTGATGGTGTGGGAGGCGAGGAAAAGATGGACGGAGAGACAGCGGTTGGGGCATTCCGGGTTCTGCAGTTGGTACGGAGGTGTCCAACAGGTCCAGTTGGCGCCCGGAATGTCCGTTGACAAGGTGGACACCTTGGAGGCGGTTGGGCGTTAGCGTTGTGAGGCGGCGACAGTTGAGATTTATGCCGCGAGTTTGGCTTTAGCGGAAATTTCCACCTTGTAGCGCGCCAGTTGCCGAGCCACTAGCGCCATCCCCCCATCCCCCTCCTCCCTGCTCCTCAGATTGTCTAAAAGAGAGCGATAATTCCAGACTGCCAGATGTGCCATCACTGTATGTACCGGCTTCTCATGGGGGCGGCCGGGAGCTCACATGCGCCAGAGCGCCGGAAAGGCCACTTTAAGAAGGAGTCATTGCCGTCTGAATCTCGGCACTGGTAAGGACTGGGTTGTCTCGTAAGTTGGTACACTTCCAGGTCACGCCTGTCAGCTCGTCGTGGTAGATTCAAGCCCGCCAGATTTATTATAACGAGGAATGTGCTGATGTGCCGTGGGGGTAGATTCCCTACCTGCGGTCTCTCTTCCCTGCCCGATGCTTCAGTCGGCTGCCCTAGGTCGCCAATCAGCGGGGGACGGAGTTGAGCGCAGTGGCTGACGCAGTGTGAAGGCCTCCACCTCGGCGTGCCATCTCTCCCATATGCGGCAATAGTTATAGGCTCATGCGGGATCTGTGCAGTCTGATTAGCGCATAGCGTGTACCGGACACCGCGTAAACACCACGTCTCAACCCACGCGCTCTCGAACGGACATTTTGTTCTTATCCACTTACGGACTGCCAACTCACAGCAAGCTGTCCTGTGTACAGCATGACATTACAAACTCCCAGTTCTCTGGCTTCTACAATTAGACGGATAGGAATTTATTGTACGCTGTTAGAGTAGATAAGATATCGTTGGTCGGCACAGGAGCATAAAAGGAGATCGTCACCTGAAGTAATGAGAGGAGACACGAAGTCAACTGTGCAGGTTTCGGTGAGCAATATTTAGATGCAATCAATCACGACCAACAGTGGTGCGGTTTTCCCCAAAAAATTTTGAAATAAAGGCCAACTTCGAGCTGGTAGGTATGGTTTAAAGCGCAAACAGTACTGCTAATCTGGTCGAGGTAAGTCAAAGCAAAGTTTTCCGTCGGAAACAACGAAATATCGTCTAGCAATTGTGTCCAGCAGTCGCGTTCGGCCATTTGTTTAACTAGTTTCACGAGAATAAAGCCACCTTTCACTCTGACTTCGGTTTTGAAAGTAGTCGACATTGGTGCGATCCATCATCACGTATTTCAGGGGTGTCCAGTCAGGTGGTACATCGTGCAGGGGTGGTAGGCCGTTCCATGTGCCACGTGCAGGTGGTGGTTGCTCTACACGGCTTTTAACCGGCACTCAATGTTAATCTGTGGCTCATCGTAGATGCAGTTAGTGACGGAGCTCGTGAAATGCTAACCGAAAGTCTGAAATGCGTTTTTGATTAGGAAGAATTGCTTAAGTGACGTAGTAATATTGATTGCAGTGGGGCATAATCCCATGGTATTTCAGAAATACCCTAATATTGGCTTTGTATGTGCCTTTTTTAGACAGCCTGCTAAAACCGCAATCGGCAAAATGCCTACTTAAATTGTATTATTTTTTCTGCCGACTTTCCTTGCTCTTGCAAATTAGAATATATTTTATACAAAAAATGCACACAAAAGTTCATTCTGGTATTCATTGGCAGAAAATTTCTTCTTCAAACTATATACTCGGGAAAGCGTGTCTTTCGGTTTTAAGGAAGTTCTTAAATTCCTGAATAATGTTAAGCCCGATCCGCCGTTACCTTTGTGTTTAGGGTTTTCAGTCTACAAACTATATACTTTCCGTGTAAGGGGAATCGCGCATTTCCCTTTGTCATTGAGAAGAGACCATATATGGGTCATCAAATTCTGCAATTGATGTTTTGTACGTTGTTGTATACTTCATGTGCAGTATTAATAAACGGACGGATGCGACGTTAGTTAACTCGACATTGCACGGTGATAAAAAATCTCATAATTAGAAAAATTTTCAGGACCAAAATATACCCTTCCTTCGAAAATAAGATTTAAGAAGTAATTTTCTACCAACTGAGTACAAGGACGAATATTGTTTTGCATGTTTTCTACATAACATCCTCAAATTTGTGAGAGTATCGAAAATCAGCGCGAACAATCCATACTACTTAATGAGTTATTCTTGTCGAGTGTAGTCTTAGCAGGCAGCCTAAAATAAGTGCATTCAAGAGCCAACTCCCTGGCATGTCTGAAATATCATGGGATTATGCTGCAAGATAGTCAATGTTATAATCCAAGCTAAGTAATCCTTTCTAATCGAAAACACATTTTGCGAGTTAGATTAGTACTTTATGGGAGTAGCCACTGACCGTAGGTTCTGTCTAGCGACTACACGCCGACAACCGCCGAGACAATTTGGTTAAACCAGATGAGGGTGTCCGGCGTTGTGTGACGCGGTATTTCTGCTCTCCTCCTCATCCTGCTTTGAAACAGACCTACGAAAAGGGCGGCGTGCAATCACGTCAGCGGCTCAGGCCAACTGGGGCCGTTCTCCACTAAACAAAAGTTGTGACCGAAAGTGCCCCCTCCTGGAGGGTCTTTAAAAAGGGCCCCAGAGAAATGCTGGAATAACACCACGTGTACACAGATAGTGACAAGCATCCTCGTTCGCATCCTCTCCACCCCACAGGCTGACAGCTGGGAATGTTCGTTCTCTTTTAGACAATGCGTGGGGTAACCAGTCACAAAGGTAGGCAGCGTTGATCGCTCGATAAGTGGCGCGCTCCAAGGCGGATGTCGCTGCTCTCAGTGAGAGCCGATTCTTAGAACAGGATCAGTTGGAGGAGGTGAGCTGGATCCCCATGAAATCAACAAAAACGACCTCATTCTCCGAACTTGCATAGAACACGGCCTCCCCGCTAACACCTTTTCCGCCTTTGGATACGGGAGAAGGCAACACGAAGGCATCCTCCCTCGGGGCGCTGGCAGCTGCTAGATTGCGCTTCCGTCCAGGAACAAGACCGATACGACGCGCCGCTGATAAAAACGATCTACGATGCCGAAAGTTTCGATTTCAGCAGTCGACTAGCCCACCGTCTAGGATAACTGCAGGTTCCGGGCGACATGGCCACAACAGAGACAACGGTGTCAACTGGGGAACAAGATATATTCCAATCTTGAATTTTCTGGGTTATGTACGTCGCTAACACTCAAACTGATTTGACGGCAACGACGAAAAAACCACCAATCTGCTTTAGGAAAAGAGCAGGCTGCACGAAGTCTACACCAACAGTGAGACCAACGCAAACAAAGCCGTCATCTTCCGTTCTCATGTCGATGAGACTGCGGCTCTGCGTAAACAAATTGGCCACCATCGTCAGCGCCTGTGTCCCCTCGATAACCAACTTCGATGACGTGAAAAAAGTTCTACGAGGGCCTACACGCCCTTCTACCAAATGTGTCGAAGACGGACAAACCGGTTGTTCTTAGTTACCTCAATGCCCGCGTTGGCAAAGATAATGCTGCCTGGAAGATGTCTGTACACAATAGGATAGGTGGTTGCAAAAGAAATGGCCGCCTCCGCCGGCAAGCCTGTGCGGAAGACAATCGCCCCCTGACCAGCACCCTCTTCCGTCCCCAGATGCGAAAGAAAGCGAAGTGGATGCGCCCTCGTTTGCGTCACTGGCATCTGCTAGACTACGTCTTAGTTCGAAGGCGTGACCAGCATGGTGTGCTCCTGGGTAAGGCGTTCTGAGGTGCCGACTACTGGGCGGATCATCACCTTGCCCTCTCCTAGATGAGGCTCAAATACAATCGTGCGAGCGACCGCAAAGTAAGTTAACATCATACAAGTGAGGTACTGCATTAATTGATATGGCTGATAATCGATTGGATTCCGGCAATTGAAGAAATGCAAACCTCAATGTCGAAACCCACTGGAGGGGGCTGTGAGACACCACCAGGGTCACCGCGCCCAAGCCCTCCGCAGCGCATGCCGTCAGCAAAAGGACTGTTTTGATGACCGTGAGGAAAATCCGCACTCTCCTTTAAGAGGGTCAGTCTACTCACGACCTTCACCACTAATAGTAGCAAGGTCGGTAAGACGGCATACTTCCGACACCAACGGCTAGCACAACAGAGGTTGGAAGATATGTAAAACGACCGGCTGACCCGCAAAGCCGAGACCCGTTTTCCTCCTCTTATACGGCCGAGAAACCGCTGCTTGCCATGTTCTTTAAACAAGCCCAAATGCAAACTTGCTGCTGACCCGGGTGCTTTCTAGTTTTTATTCACTGGCCTGCATGGAGCAACTTCGCCTGTTATACCTCCCCTCCCCGTGTTTGTCTGGTTTTCTGGGCGTGCAGACTCCCAAGAAGAAGCATTACAACTACACCGTCATTTGCCGATGGAACCTGAAGCTAACGCCCCTAAATCAATGAGGCCCAGAATAGTGGAATGTCTGTTTAGATTAACAAAAGCAGATCTGCGTACAAAGAGAGCATGTCACGCAGGACTAGGACATTGCCACTGTTTTACCTCTTTGCGGGGAAAGGTACCTCGCGATGCCCCACTCGTAGGGACATATGCCTAACTAACATCAGTTAAAACCCCTACTAGTATCCTCATGGACAGTCTTTATACCCCTAGGACGTAAAAATTCGGCCAGACCAAGGCCTGGTCGATGCTTTATCGACTACCAATTAACCCTGAGGAATTGCCTGCTACCTAGATTTCGCCGCGACAACTGGCTCATCGGTAGTGCACTAAAAACGGCGCCGGAAGTTGATGAGCCCCCAAAACTACTTAGATAGGGGCATTTTAAAAAATCACACGAAAGCTGGCGGAAATTTCACGATCAACGTCGACATCCGGCTGAGACATCCCCTCACTCACCCACACGTCCACAAGGGAGAAATCTCGTACCACCACTGTGCCGATAACGGTATCATGTGTCAGAATGCCTTCGAGGAGACAGAATTAGTCTCTAAGCACATAATCAGCGCCTGCTTCAAGTCTCACTTGGGACTGAAGACTGTGAGAACTAAGGCGCTGCAGGACTCCACGTGGCAAAGTCTCCTCCCATTCGGTTGGATGTGAAAGACCTGAGGCGTGTAGCTGTTTCTTCAATCATGGCCACTTTACTGAAGGTCTTGTTCTGAGGATCTGCATGTGACTATTGCCTCCCAGCAAGGTCAAGCATAAAACGCAGACTCCTGTGCATAGGCCTACACTTAAGGACGACCTGCTCGATGGCTGTAAAACGTGACATGTGATTCCAGTGGTGACCACCGGATGTAATTTTGTTCGTGTCCGAGATCCATGTATCACATGTGGACATCTACCAGTTAGTCAGTGAGAGGCTACTATGTTATACGGTTCACTCACACCCTACTGATCAAAGTAGGGATCAGTGCGCGACGCAATCTCCCCGAACCCCCCGTCTAGGACGGCACCTGTGTTCTAGCGGACGACACAGGGCGTGGTCCACCCAAAAATGCTGGATCCAACATTCTGCGGTGCGCAGTAACAGAACACTAACTGAGAGACTACTGTGGGTCAGGCCGTTGACCTCGGAACATAAAACTGAACTGCTTCGTTTTGGTTTAAACAGAACCAGTACCTGTAGCAGTCAATATAAGCGTCAATAACAACTGGTCATCGCTTTTCCAAGCTTATTCTGTCTCCACCCAACCGATCAACACTGACCATCATCTATACTTGTACTTGATACGGCTGCGATCATGTCTGATCTAGCCGGCCTCGATGATGTCCCAAACTGTACCTCTCCACGCGTGACGATCCGCGGCAGCAGATCTAGACAGCTCAACCCATTCCCTTCGTCAACGACGGAGACCGAATACCGAAGGTCCAAGAACCACCTCTATGTCTTGACGGACAGTGTCGAGCCAGGTTTTGAACTGACCCCCTCTTCGACGCCTCCAATGGGGCAACGGTGCCGGATCGAGGGCAGTAACACTGAGCTCCTGAGGTGGACGACGAAGAACATGTCCGAACCACCTCAGTCGTCTTTCTTGGATGGCCTGAGTTATCCTTGCGATGTTGTCGCAGCGAGCGCGGACTATCTCATTTGAGACGATGTCGGTTTACTTCACTCGAAGGATGATCCTCAAGCAGTGGTGGTCAAATACCTCCAGTTTTCGCTCATCCGCCACGCGCAAAGCCCAGTATTCACAACCGTAGAGAAGGACAGACCGGACAGATGCACGGTACACGCGAATCTTAGTGGCGATGGAGAGGTCACGTCGGTTCCACAGGCATTTCCGAAGGCTTGAAAAAACCCAGCGGGCAGCATCGATTCGGGAGACAATGTCGTCCTTACTCTGTCCATTAGGCAGCAGCCTCGCCCCGAGGTATTTAAAACTGTCCACTTCTTCAAGTTGATAGCCATAAATCCCCAGGGGTGCCTTCTTCTGGTCAGGGATGCAGCTTGAGAATACTTTGGTCTTCCCAGCGTTTATGGACAAACCGACTGATTTAGCGACCTCGTTCACCCGTGACACCATAGACTGCAGATCACCAAAACTTGAAGCAAGTAAGGCGATATCATCGGCATAGTCGAGATCAGTTAGTCGATGTCCGGGTGCAAATTCAACGCCGTCACTGTCGCGTAGGGCCCTCCCGAGGATGCAGTCAATAGCACAGTTGAACAGAATGGGTGACAGGATACAACCCTGTCGAACGCCAGACCGAGTACCGAACGGTTGGGAAAGATTGTTACGGACCAGGACTCGCAGTAGTGGAGCGATAGTAGGCCTTGATCATGGCGATGATTTTTGCCGGTACACCATCTAGCGCCATTATCCGCCACAGGGACTCACGGTGAACGGAATCGAACGCAGCGGCAAAGTCAACGAAGCAGACGGCCGTCGGTTGTTGGTAGCTATGGCGAAATTCGAGAATGCGCCTCAGTGTGAATATCTGATCTGCGCATCCACGTCCAGCACGAAATCCGGCTTGGTTGGGCCTCGTCCTTGAGTCACGCACAGCCTGGAATCGTCTGAGTAGGACAATAGCGAAGATCTTCGCAGCAACGTCGATGAGATTTATGCCGCGGTAGTTCTCGCATCTCGTCTTATCTATAACCAGAGAAATAAACAAGCGAGCCTGGTCCACGGCAAAATTTATCAGGTGGATCACAGGCACTTCACTAAACAGTACAACACAACATTTGCATCGGAATGTTGTCGTGTTATGACCAGCGTAACAATAGCAGGGAGAGCCCAACACAGTGCTGTATCAATAGACTCACATCCGTAAATGCTCCCTTCTACCGCCACATATCGACCGGGTTCGCAATCACTGCTAGGCAACCGCATGAAAAACTGGTTCATCTTAATTACTTACAACGGCCAACGTTTTGGCCCAAACTCTCGGTACGGGTGAAAATCGTACACTATAAAGAAAAGCTGACAAGCGTTGACTTTATACCCGCTGACCGGACACAAGAAGTTCGTATGTTTTACACCTTCCCCAAAACCTGTAAGACAGCAAGACGCAGACAAGTATAAGCCAGACAATGAGCCAAGGATTTAATTTACAAAACAGAGCAGAGATTTCGAACGCTACGAACCTGCATAATAACGACAAGCTGGCGTAGGGCGGGCCATCTCACCATCCTGTTCACTGTACTTCGGGATCCCAAAACCCTAAAATACAAAGGTGCCCAGGACATTAAAAGGCAAAAACTAGAACTATGCGCTTGGAGATTCAACTGGATCCAATTCATAGATCTGCAGAACTTACTCAGCCGTGCAAACACGCAGTCTATGAGACCTAACATTAGCAAGTCGGCCTGAGGTGGCATAGGTGAGAGCTGGTGCCGTAGATCACTGACAAAACTGTTCAGAAAGGATGTCCATCTAACGACCATGGGCCAAAATGGCAAACACGCCCCGCGCAAAAGTTCGTATGCCTCCGACATGCGCCAAAAAGACCTCACGAGCAAGGATTGTGCCCTGTAAGGTGATTTTCCTGCTCCTCCAGTACCATGGGAAGCACAGAATCCTCTGTGGAGTGGTTATGTGACATGTTAAATTTTGTCACAGTCAAGCACTGGGCGCGCTGCCGGACCTCGAAGAACGAGGGGCAGCCACACTTGTAAGTTCTTCTTGATGTTGACGTGCTTGAGGAATTCCGACACGCGTCACTGTGTTTGCATGCATAACGAATCCGTGAATACCGGAGCCTATCATAATCAGGAGACTCAACTTTTAGTCGATTTGTTCCTCGCTTCACGTATACTAGTCGAACAGCTTTCTGAAACTCAAGAATGCACGTCTGGAGCTCATCATACGAGGAGAACTGACGGCCGCAGAAGTGTCTGATGAAGAGCCAGTAGGGTTCGCTCATTGCGGTCATCCTTCCAACACTCCCTTTTCGAAATCGTTAACTTCTTAAATGCGGAAATTTACAAACTTAAACAAATTCGAGGAACTTAGGTTGACTGATGGTTGACTGGTTGTAGCTCTTCTAGGTTGGATATTCTGAATATTTTATTCAACAACCGAACTTATGGGTTCCGAAGTAAAAGAGTACATTAATAGGTTTACGATAATGTTGATTTGGTCTAAACGTAGGATCGTAGGCCGTCATTTGGAATTTTGGTGGTAGTGGACGGGACAGTAAGCAGATCACATCTCATCTAATAACCCCATTAAGACAGAGAAAGGGTAACACGATAGTGTGACCGCAGAAATGGAAACAGCTACAAACTGACGTGGGAGAAACTGAACGCAAAAAAGGCATCTGTAATGAACTTGGACACTGCAGAAGCGCGCCAGTACAATAAAGCCAAGGCAAGATGTTAACAACTTAGAGATGCAGAAGCAGCTTAAATTTTTCTTTAAGTCACACCCACAGAGACATCAAAGGACACCAGTACGTGAAAATCTGGACATTGGGTGAGGGGAAGATACCCGTCACTGTTTTCAAACGGTTGAACAGACCAGCTGAGTGATACTGTATGGCGGACTGTCCTTCTTCTGACCTACGGTAATTTAGGTATGAAATCAAAATGATTCTGAGACATTGCGCACATAGGCACAGTAAATATATCCGTTTAATCATCCTATGCAGTGGTAACGCGCTGCGTGGATGTCGCCAGTTTGCCCATGCGCTCAAAAGCGAAATGCATAGCCTATACGCCAGTCCACAGGGATGAAACAAGGCTCCACTAAACGACTGAATACACATCTACATCAAAAACGCAAAGGGAACTGCGCTGGTCAGCGACGTGATTTGCATTTAATCTTCCCTATCCAGGAATGGGTAGTTTGTGCACTCCCAATGTAAATATATGTATATGCCGGATACAAGGCGATCGGAGGAGATTACGTGCCCTAAAAAGGGTAATTATGCGAACCTTAGCGTTTCGAGTAAAGCAATAGGACTAACGTTTCAGTCGGATTTGGGATGAGCTCGAAGAATAAATGTGTAAGGAAAACGGAATTTTAGTTCAGTGCGGTTTTAGGGATGTCTCCTGTTCTGGAATATTTCCTTCCCGTCATCCCAGAAGTATTTAGGATCGGCGTCGTTAGAAGTGCTCCGATCAAGCGACAAATTCCTATAGTTGAGGTTGATTTTGCATGCTAATTGGTCTCATCTGTTGAGCGCTTGCAAGGACAGGATTCCTGACTTGGAGCTGGGTAACTTACAAAAAATAGAATTGTGGCACTACACAGAAGACTGCAGGGCAGACAGTGATATTTTAGCATTATATTTCGATCATCTCTTTTGTACGAGTGTAAGGAAGTGTAATTGCAACCAAAAACAGCTAGCAGAGAACAAAAAAAGTGAGAAATGGACATTAGAGTTGTAATACTCCCTGCAAGGCCGGAAATTCCGACGGCTTGCAGGTGTCACGGAATTTCCATTTGAACCACTTCTCCATCCAGTAGACAAACTTGGTGGATGTCCCTCCGCACATGACCTTTCGTCTCGCGAGTGGCGATTTTGTGAATAAGATCCTGTGTGTAATTATTCGATGACTGTCTTCGACCAGATATTTCGGGGTTTATCGGCCTCCATTAACAGAAAAAGTCGACTAATCGTGGACTCGATTGCCCAGATTTCCACTTCCGACATACTGCGAATGTTGGTAGGTAGACTCTTCATCATTTCTTCTTAAAGGTATCCGCTAAGGTTGCGCCTGTTGCCATCTTCTATTAAACTGATTCTTCGGAGTTGTACTTAGTATTGACCCGGAATAGTAGCAGCAGCTTATTTGGTGTAAGTACATACTGATCATCCGGGCCATCACCCTGCCTTGCTAACGGCCTGTCATTTAGAATTCGTTCAATTTCAGTTATAGCCGTATGTATAACTACATCAGTGAGGCGTTGTTCTTCTAGCACCACAATGGTAATTTGTTTGATTGTGCAAATCATTCATCCCCATATACCCCCTCCATGGCTAGCTCGAGGAGGGTCAAATACCCAGTCTCACTCACGGATCAGCAGTAATTTCGCAATTCTATCCCAGCTACGCGTTTATATACAAAGAAATAAATAATTTTTATTAAAGACCCGTCGGGGTCCCATCAAAGCAAGTGAAAAGAAATTGACATATGAATTTTAGACGAGGTGAGGAGAATCTCTACAAAACACAATTCATAGTTTCTGAATTTGTAGTCCATTAAAAAAATGATGAGAAAGTAGTGAAAAAAACTCCACCTAAGAATTTAAAAGTAATTGGACTAATTTTGCAGGAGAAAAAACCCGTCGCTCATAATAACACAAAATGCGGGCAAGACTGGCCTGCATGTGGCGGTATATAACGGATTATAATCGGGCATCGTCAGGGCAGAAATAACTTTCAGATTTGAGGGGTATGTATGCGGGTTAGACAGGGCTGGTCTGCATGTGTTATTGTACACGGAATTCAGAACAGATATCGTCAGGGCAGAAGTTATGCGCCAGATGAGACAATGGGCGTCAAAGAGGCCAGGCGAGAGGAACCCAGACACGACCGGCCACAGTACGCTTCAAGCTCAGCCGAGGAGTAGGGAAGGGAGGCACGACCAAACTACTAGTAGACAGCGAATACAGAGGGTTTCGCCGTGTGTTTTGGCAGATCGCTTGAGGTCGAAATGAGGGAGATGACATCGGGGACCGCGAAAGTCGTCGCTGGGGGGGAGGAGTTCTAGCAGTGGATTTAGTAATCAATCTAAAATAGAATAGAATACAATAGGTTCATTGTAGCGCCTCTTGGGCACTGTCAGTCCCCTTTGAACTCAGGAAAAAAACCTAAAACAAACTCGTCAATTTCAACTGCACTTTGACTTCATTTGCTTCGGGTGTCTGGTTAGCCAAAAGAGCGCGAATTGAGAGTTTGTTTTAAGTTAAAAAAAACCCTCAGTTCTAAGGGAAAATAATTACAAAATTTTCAAAAAATAACGATATGTACAATATAGAAATTGAAGTTTGCAGTGTGGTAGTTTTCGGGGGCATGAATAATATGTCCTTCATGGCAATTGAAGAACTTTGATGTCGGCCTGACCTTGAAATTATTTTCCTGCTGGGTAAATTTCGGTTTGCTCTAGTTGTCGGTTGTCAGTCTACCTGGCCAGCTGTAAGGGTGTAGCAGATAGACTTGAACGGTTGTTTTAATAGGCAAGGGCGCTAGTTTTGATAGCAAGGGTGCCTGGTGTCTGGACACTATTTGTCTGCATTCTCTTGTGTTTCAGTTGAGGTGCGCGAGGAAGAAGACTTCCCCTCCCCGGTGGCAGCATTCAACTCCACCTTCCCTGGACAACTGTGAAACTAACGTTCGTTGGACTATTAGATTCCTCCCTCTGTTTTGCCCTCGTTTTACGCTCCCCTTTTTGCCCTTCCTCAATAAACCTTGGAGTACTACGCGGCTTATCGTGTGCTTGAGGATTGTTATTCGATAATGAACACTTGTAAGGACGATCCTAACGGTTCACAAATTGGACAGAGTGCCCCAGTTCCCGCCGTTCCGTCTCAGGCGACCCAGAAGGACACCAGTGAACCCTCGGCCACCGAACCACTATCGAGGTCGGACGCTACAATGGTGGCAGCGAACGAGCCGAGCCCACAGCCTAAAAACAGTGCAACAAACCCAGTTCCCTCTTCTTTTAAACCCTACGACGGGAGCAAAGATTTTTCGTGCTGGCTGCGCCGCCTTAAGTTCCATCTAGACGATGTTTCACAAAATGAACGCAGCCGTACGGTGCTTCAACATCTTGCAGACGATCAGATGGACAAGCCACTCGATGCCGGCCTCACCCGCCACACCCCTTTCCAGGTGCTGTGCGACCAATTGCAGAGGCTATTCCAACCACCATTGACCATTGAGGAAGCCCTTGACCAGT